CTGACCCCCTAACCCCAGCCCTAGTGTGGAGACTGACCCCCTAACCCCAGCCCTAGTGTGGAGACTGACCTCTAACTTCACCTCTAGCTTTCATACTACGTCTGACCCATCTTGCCTATCGCCTAACCTTGCCCTACAGTGTGAGCCAGCAGTATGTCAAGATCACAGTGAGCTGCACTGCAGCTCCACACAACCTTCAACCCTCGCTCATGCAGCAGACTCACGGTGTCGAGAGAAGACCCCGGGCCTGTCGGTGAGCTCTGTACGGGAGTAGGGAACAAACTGAGAAAAACAAAACACCCGCAAACAAAGACATTCAAAGGCAAACAAAAAATGCTGACGTTCTTTTAGGAAACCAGCTGAACGTGAGCACTTCTGAGCTCTCCTTGACTGATCTAAGCCCTCTTCCCAGGATCACACTACATATCCTACAACAGGAATACGGCTGCAATCATACAGACCTCTTAAGAGTGCTATACATGGATCTGGGAAAAAAAAGGTTCTTTCCAAAGTTGGACAGCTATTCACATACAGCTTGGCTCAAAATAATGGGATCACTTATCACAAGTATTTTTTTTTAAAGCATTCGCTTTCTATATACTTCAATTTGACAGCTCGAAAGGCAACATTGATCATGTTTTGCTAAAGGAGAAAACCTTATTCAGAGTCCAGAATGCAAAATAACATCTTGGACTGATCTGGAGAAGAAAACACAGAATCGCACAACATCTTGAAACCATCATCTTGTGTCTGACCACAAACAACTCGCACAATGGGGCAGAATGGCCACCCAGAGAAAATTTCTGAGACAGCTGTGTGACCAAATGCTTCTTTTTGTAAACAGGCCGGACATTTTTGTACTCTTATGAAATACAAAACTCATCAAATATTGAGCAAAGACAGTAACTCAGATCAACGTTGTTTATTAGATTTCACATAGTGCTTTTTCAAGCCACTAGCTTCAGAAGGCAGTAAGACAGACACAAAAATAGCCAATTTAAAAATAGAACAATAAAAGATTTAAAGAGGATTATAAAAAGAGAAACGCAGGAGGTGCTTTGGAGGCAAAAAGAAAAAAAAGTCTCCAGACGGACACAACACACGCCCGTTAGCAGACACACGAGCTGTTTCCATGCTTAATTTAAACTTAAGTTCTATTTTTTCTTAAGCTTTGGTGAGATTAATTTACACACCACATCCTTCCAGCAACTGCTTATCCATTTCTGAGATTGTACTGATGGAGATTAAATTCACATCGGGAGCCGACTCCACACAGAAAACGCCCTTGGAAAGCCGGGCACCTTGTGAGGGGCCTGTCCCGAGTTCAGCCAGGGCATCCTGGGTGGAGAGCATATGGCAGCTTGGGACACAATCCCAAAGGCACTGACCACGCCACGCCACCTGACCGACTGGCCTTAGGGCGACAAGGGGACACCTATTGGAATCGGAGGCAGGAACTACTCTTTAGATAGAGAGCTGTCTGAAAACAGCTGCCCAGCTGTGGTGTTAAACTCACCTGTCAGTCTGGGATCCTTCAAGCACCACGCTTGCTGGCTGAGATCCCTGAACCCACAAGCTTTAGAGTAAACAAGCTTTTGGGCAACTGATGACCTCTCGCCTGTAATCAATCTTATTCTCTGCCCTTAGCTTGTATGAGAAAACATACACAAGGGTGTTTTAATAGGGTGAGAAGAGCTCCCAGGGCAATCATTTTATTGGCACATAGGCACAAGTACAGTGTGGCCTCAGCACGCCGCACTTTCCCAGACCTGCAGTGGGACACCAAAGCTCTGAATCTGACGCAGCTGCCCAGAAAGAACAGAGCTCTGGGGGTCGGAGTCACTCGCGACACGACTACTGAGCGCAAACTGCCCGCTGGGCAGGAGCTTCCTTGAGGGCCCTAAGAGCTGGACAGAGGGCAGGTCAGGGCTGCAGGCCATCCAGCAAGAAGGATGTGGCCTGGGTCTATCAGCACAGCACAGGGTACGGTCAAGAAACGCCTTCTGCACAAATGTGAAGTAAGCTTTGCACCTCAGTGTCTGACCACATCTGCATTCATGCCTGGGGTTACTCTGGACAGGTGTGTCCTTGCATGGGCTCATGAACAACGAGATAGTGCACTACGCCTGTGAGGATATCTCCATTCTCGACTGGCAGAGGTCCCGTTACCCAACGTCTGGACGTGTCCTAGTTTAACGGAGCAAACACACAGGACAATTACAATGACAGTTACCTCTCCTGCTGTCCATGACATAGGTCTCAATGATGGCACTCTTCCTGCAGATGTCATCGGCCATGGATGAGCAGCTGACCTCCAGATGTTTCACCTGAAACCACAGCAGCTGTGTCAACACACTTGCGGCAGAGATATGACAGTGCACAGGTAGAACTCAGGCACCCACAGAGACTCAAGCACTGTGAATTGTGAGGATGCAGAGAAGGAACAGAGACAGTTTTTGAAAGTTGTCATGGTGCAGAAAACAACCTTGATCTCGGTTTCATCCAGGTAAGTCTTTACAGGGGCACAGCCAGAAGGAGACCAGGGGTGTACAGGTACAAGAGAGGCAATTTATTGGTTTCTTTAAGCCCAGTTGTAGAAAACTGTGTTAATTAGAACAATAAAAGTTAAAATAAACCATGAAGACTCTATAGCTAAAGAGAGGGGTCCCGCTGCAGAGCACGGCGGTCAGATTTTTCCCAGAGAGCCACAGCACCTTCTGGTCCTGTTCTGACTTAATTGGCTGAACTGTTTCCTTAATTGGACAGATCTGACACAATGTCCCAAACGTCAACATCCGTGACACTCGCCTCCTTTGTTAAAGTACCTAGATGCTCAACTATAGTCCCTTCAAGGACGGAATCCAGCACATTTTCTAGGTCTCGCAAATCATTACCAGCTGAAGACCTTCGAAAAGTGTTAAACTGTTCCAGTGAAGGTGGATGTCCAGCTCAATAAGATTAACAGCAGAACTGTAGCCAAGTGTCAAGGGCCCTTAAAAAACATTACATAAATGAACAATTAATGATCAGTGAAGTGGAAGGGTTAGTTAGAAGAAAAACTAGAAGCTACCAGCCACTGAGCTGAGCTGGGTCACCCAACCCTGGTGGTGGAGAGTCACAGTCCAGCAAGCTTCTTGGTCACTATTAATCATCCATCCATAGTCAAACCGCTTCTTTCAATTCAGGGTCGCAGGGGAGCTGGAGCCTATCCCAGCAAGCAACAGGTACAAGGCAGGACACACCCTGGACAAGACACCAGTCCATCTCGGGACACACACAGACACGGACACACCCACACTCACTCCAGGGCCAATTTTTCCAGAAGCCAATTAACCCACCAGTCTGTGGGAGGAAACCTAAGTGAACATGGGGAGGAGATACAAACTCCACGCAGACAGCAGCCCAAAGATTGAACCCAGGGCCCCAGCTCTGTGAGGCAGCAATGATAACCACTGCATCACTGCGCCACCCTGTCACCACTGGTCATCTGTTGTACAGTAATGTGTTTGTGCACCCAGCTTTACTGATGAACACGCAGTGTCCCAGTCTCGACAAACTGCTGGCTTCACGAGACACAGAAACCCTGCTGGCCTGTGGCTCTTTTGGTTCAGGCCTGGACCTGTAGGAATGTAGGTCAGTCTCTCAGAGGGACTCTTGAATCACAGGCGCAGGAGGTGCTGTTAAACTGCCACAAAGGTGCCAGACAGCCTGATTACCGAGTCTGAAGCTGATCGTTTCTGACTTGACTTGGACGAAGCCCAGAGACATCCATCCATCGCCCGGGTCTCACCACAGAGGGGAAGGTAAACTGTCACCTTACACTTACCTCCCAACACCTCCGACCTTGGTAGAAAATGGGCATAAGGCCTGGGCCATGCCCACCGGTGTCAAGGCTAATTAGCCAGACAGCATTGCCAAGACACAGCACCTCGGATGACCCCTCCAGCAGGGCACTGGCTGCACTTCAGAGATCCCATTACCCGGCTGCGCTCATGTGTCAGGAAAAGACACGTGCTCCGCATCCTGGTGAGCCTGGCAAGACCGAAATGCCATCTAACCCCGAACCAGGGGCAGCGCAAAGCCCCTGCAATGGGCAGTGCCACTGCTGCAGGTCAACATGTTGCAGAATTAATAAAACAACATAACAGACCGCAAGCTCTTAAAAGCAGCAGCAGTGAACAAAAGAAAACGTGCCAAGACAACAAGATATAAGACGTGCCAAGTGACTTTCAGTTTTATAGAACTGGATCCAAGATACACTTTAAACAAACCACTTGAAGCGTACACACACACACAGAAAACTAATCACATCAGGATGTAAAGCTTACGTTGTGACCACTGCTGGTGTGCACAAGCTCATCAGAAAAGTTCAAGTGTCATTCACAAAGCTTTGTGCACGCAGACGTATTTACCAATAAACTACTCATCTCCCCCAAACTGATTTTACCTAGATTTAACATCAATCACAGCACACCTGAGGTCTGTTCTCATGTTGGAAAATGAGCTTTCCCCTATTGGTCTCTTCCCAAATAGAACTGGGCAGTTCATCTACTCTTTAAAAAAACCACTCCTTACATGGTGCCATCTGCTGCTCTTCTCTTTTTTAAACAAAAAGCACAAACGGGGGGAAGTTATAAGTTGAATAAGACCTTCAGCAGTTTTGCAGGAGTAAAAGTGGCAGCACCTTCCTTTCATTTTAACGTTAAGGCCTGGGCCTGCTCCACGCCCTCGTTAGCACGCGCTTCACGTAATCCGACACCGCCAGGGGCGGGTCCGAACAGCAGGACAGGGAGTTCGCAGAAGAGGGGCCAACAAGGCCGAAAAAAAATTAAAAAGAAATGACCACGTGCCGGACTTACTGATGGAGAAACAAAACCGCTTCAAAAACAGAAACACAGGAGGAGGGGAAAAAAAAAGCTCCACCTTCTCCTCCAGCATCCACTTCTCCTGCTGCACCTCTGCCAGCCGCAGGAACAGCTCGCTGATCTCGTCGTCGGAGAGCTCGGCGGGCCGCTGCGCCTGGGGGCTGCTGGTGTTGGACTGGGGGACGACACCAGACAGACTCAACATTTAGTAGCATTAGAAGATTAAAGAAGCACGCGGTTTCTGTCCTTGAATCAACTCAGACAGCGATCAAGCCAAGGCGCACAGGAGCCATTGGCAACACAATGATAAAGAGCACTTCCTAGCACTTAAAATCTGCCGGTGCAAGCTCTGGCTTAATTTTAGTTTTTTTTTTCCCCGTTTCGTTTTTCCTGTAGATACAGTTTCTGATTTGATCCCCCTATCTCTCCTAAGCAGCAACAGGACCCATCTTGATTTTCTCTCTTCTGAATCTCGCAGGACAACTGACCATCATCGCTGCTAGAAGCATTTTTGGTGGAGCTGGCCTAGAGACGAAACACCAGCACAGTGGTATCTCAGACACAGGTCCCTGAGGCTCTGCTGGCTATGAAAGACAGGACTCAGTGGATTGATTGCGGACACTTATATCGCAGAGCGCATGCTGTCTCATTCGGGAAAAAATTACTCTTCAGTAACAGATAAAAACATCACCACTGCAGAAACATCAAAGCTGTTCAGTAAAAGATCTGTAAAACGATTGCAATATCTTATCGCGCAAAACCCCCCCAAAATGTTTTAAGGCAGAATATTGAAGTGCGTGTTAACAAGAAATAAAGAAACTGGATAGCACTCATTATGCTCTGTAAATGCAGGCGCTGGACATAACATGGGGAACCAGTTGAGACTGCAGCATTGCTGATGGGTATCAGGGCCAGAAAACAAACCATCATTTCTTGAACATTAGCCATGTTTTGACATGCCTGCACTGGGACAGCCTGCTACATCGCACCCTGCAACACCGTCAGCCCTGTTATCATTCATTGTTCTTTGATCGTTTGGCTGACGCGGTTATCCAAAAGCACCTTACATCTGTGTCAACATTTTACTGCCTCAGTCTGAGTGAAAGACCCCGCTCAGGGTGTCCCCCAGCTGCTGCACCCCACCGGAGATTTGAGCCCACAGCCTTCTCATTGCGAATCCAGAGCCCCACCCACTCCTCCACAGTGCTGCCCCCCGGACCCCCCATGCCCATCTGCGCTGTGCGTCGGGCACTGCCCTGGCTGGAAGAGGCGACTGCACCTTGTTGGCGCTCTGGGAGGCTGATCCCTCCTTCATGATCTCGCGGTAACTGAAGGAGGACACGCTGCTGCTGTCCCCTGTCTGGGTCCGGCTAGGCGAGCTGATCTCCGACAGCACCAACTCCTCCAGGCCTGCCACAGAGAGAGGGCGAGTTAATACACCAGTGTATACAAACACTGCCACACACTGCACACCACGGTACATGAACGCTGCGCTCAGACTGAGCTACCGCACACCGCTGTGGTCAGTCTGAGCTATTGCACGCTGCTGTACACTAACAGACAACTACTGCGCCCCTTTGTAAACTAACCTCACTGTACACTAAAACTGCTCTGATAATGAAGGTTAACACAGGACTGCAGTAGAATACAGTAATTTCAAAAGAGATATGAGGTTAATGCACACTACTGTACACTGCCAGGGCTCTAAACCTGAGAGAAGGGTTTAAAAACCCTGCACAGTAACGCTGCACTGAGACTGGCAGAGTGTTAATGCACACTGAACATTTATACTGAATTAAGACAGAGATGTGGTTAATATACAGTACACTGTAAGCACTATCAGCCACTACCACTGCAATCAGAATAAGACTCTGCACAGCCTCTCCGGATCAGAATCCTGCACACTCCTACATATACACACCCCCAACAACTGCAGCAACACAGTGAGCAAAGCAGAGAAACAGGGCAGACCTTCAGGAGTAAAAATAACTGAGAAAAATAAAATGATTCCAACTAGGATTAATTGGGTATTGTGAGAACTGGCTGGTACCTTTAAAGAAACAGCCCTTGATGGGTTAGGGATAAAGGTGGCTTCTATTAAAGGTAAAGAGATTATTTTTAAAATAACAGTGATGAAATAATCCTTTCTAGGTTTTTACCCAGCGGATCCAATTATCATTGGCATCGGCTGCTGCTGCTGTTTCTTCTTTAGCCTGACAGCCACGATGATAACTGCCCTGTAATTAGGCACGAAACCTCGTCAAACTGCAATGGACAGAAAGAAAACTAGAACTAAAACTTAGGAGTAGCAACTTCCTGGAGCAAAACGGTGGAAAAGCATACTGGTAAGCTCTAACTAAAGCTGTTTGAACCCGACATTGAGAAAGGCTCCCTAATTTAAAATGTGTTATCCTCCACTTTTTCACTTTGCATAGAGCAGCTATGAAACATTTAAGCTCCCTTAAATTATAGATGCCTCTGAAGAGACCGGCCCTGGCACAGCTATGCATTGGAGGAGTCCAGAAGCCAGTCTACCATGTGCCAGGCAAGGTTCCCCGACGCATTCTTTTTGGTGGTGGGGGGGGACTTGATAAAATATTTATTGGTCTCTGCCATCTCGCTGACGAGGATGGCGGGCGGGGGGGGG